TGGCGCTGTTCTTGGTAAATATATTTACAAATATAATTATTATGATTGAAATTTGAATATAGTTAAAAAGTTGCAGAGGTAACAAATAAATCCACTATTTATAAATAGCAAAATGTAAAATCCATAACTATGACTTGATTATATTCATATCCATAATATGAATACAATCAAATAGATGCACGAACAAATAAACTACTACAATGAATAATTGTAAATAGCAAAGTTCATAATTAAAAAAATATAACATCTTCTTGGAACGTTCTTCTTCTGTTTATGCTATAGCGATAACAATATAATTTAACTTTTTAATCAAGATGTACACTGTCTGAAATCGAAGAAGTGAACATATTAGATCTAACATGATGATTGAATGCTATCTTTAATATGGGACAAAGAGCACACTTTATATCGGCAACAATGCTACGGTACATGAAGGAGCAAACAAGACAACAGGAACCTTATATTTTCACCCTGTTTTGCCTTTCAATTAACAACGAAGTGATCAAATACTCTGCTGAGAAAATAGTATTTATCTAGATAAAAGTTTTTAGTTTGAAAATCGACCGATTCCCAGACGTACGAAAATTAGTCAAATAAAACAATTTTATATATTGCTTACATGATAGGTCTATAAGATTCGTTATTAAGGAACGTTTAATAAACCATGTTTCAGTAGTCAAATACCAGACCAAACATGAATTATTTCAAGAAGATCCACATTTTTCTCCCAAAATATTATTTCCAGATGAAAAGTTTTACATTTTTTTTCAACCGAGCAGAATATAAAGAACATAGTTTATTAGTAAAAAGAGAATACGCATTTAAGTATCCCTGTAAAAACACAATTTCATCAGAAATTAAATGTGTAGCGTGGTATTCTTGGTCCATTTTTCACTAAAGCAAATTTGGTTGCACCGACAAACTTATATTTACAGACGAATAATGTTATTACTGCCGTCCAATTAATTGAGTTTTCTTGGTAAAATTATTCCTCAGTGGATAATATCAGCAACAAATACATCTGCTCAAAATTTAGATGAACTTCGATTGAAGATTACCAAAGTTTTAAGATCGATCGAAATTCTTTTTTTTATTAGAATTATTTTTCAATTTCTAACGGCTTATGCACAGGACGAATAGTTGACGAATATTTGTGACATCCGAAAAAATAAGTTAGCCAGGGCAACTGTCAACGTCGGATTACCCTGTTATTTTATTGTTATAGACATCAAAATCAGAGTATTTTTTTAATAGACGCAAAACTGCAACAGTTTCCAATTTTATTGTTTAAAGGCTTTAATTCTTTGCACTTGATCAAGATATTTAATAGTTCACTTTGTAATCATATGACTTTTGGCGCCCTTAAGAGTCCTACCACTCTATTAGCACTCCAATCTACACTTTGGCCGACAAATCTCCTAAACAGTATCCAAAGGACCGAAAATTTCTAAAAATTGATATAGCACATAAAGAAGACATATGTATATATTGTTTGGAAGTCCTTGTAAAATAATATGCTAATTACCAAATAAATAATTTTTTTCACTTATAAAATATTTTCTCGTGTACATGTAATTTTCTTATATAAAATACATTATTTAAAATTACCTTCCTGTTTCAGTATTAAATCAAATCCAGTTTTGCCCGTCAAGCTTTGGGGCTTACTTCCTGGAGTGAGCTTAATTGCACAGCTCAATTTGCTATAAAACTAATTGTGAAAATAATAATGAAATGTATAATGATAGTGACTGTAGTAGGGAAGTGATCTGGGAAACAAGAAAACTGAGATCCCAGAATGAATCCTGATGAAAACTCTAGAGTCTAAAACTAGATGCGATACAGCAGAGAAATAATTTTAATATTGATTTTTATATTATGTATCTTGATGATATTTTCTTTTGCCATCGGTTAATAGTAAAAACGCCAATTTTCAATACTATCGCTACTGCAGAAATAAGTGAAGGACCAAAAAAAATAATAAAAAAAGATTTAGACAAATTAAAAAAAAAACGATAAAATTTAGACGCATTTGCTAAGTGTATGTGTGTATTTACATTCGCCCTAAATATGTTACTTGTATCGAAATATTAGATCACAGTACAGTTATTTATAACAAATATATTTTTAGAGAGATTCGCGCTCAAATAGACAATTTGTTATAATTAGTTCTTAAGTTTTCACAGATTTTCATAAAAATAACGTATCTATTAAGTGTGTCACGACTCGAGTACTCATTAAACTACTCACCACGGCGAAGTAAATCCGCCAGCCCGTTTAGTTATCGTGTCAATAACAAGAAGAATAATAATTACTACTAAAATGATCACATATTAAGCCAGAATTAGCTAGCTAGCTAGAACTAACTAGCCAAGTTCATACTTAAGCGTACAATAAAAATACTGTTAAAAACGTTCAATCAAATGGTAAATTATGTTTATAATGAAATGTAAGGTCTAAATCGAATTAAAAATTATCATACCACGCCTTAGGAACTTAAAGGTGCATAAGAAGTCTCAAAATCGTCTCATTTATATAATCGTTGTAATAAATCAGAGAAAGTCTTACAAGGATGTAATTTGACTGAAGTGATGAACATCGCAATAACGTTACCAATAATATTTTAAAAAACACAAGATATATTTAAGTATTTTGAGATCAACTTGGGTACCCAATTGGGTACATATAGAGTTGAAGGTAACCGGGAGAGACCCAATACTAAGGAAGCAATAAAAAACGGGTGCTTCAAAGTGAGTGTCTTTTATTAAAAGTCAAGCTTTCGCCACATAATTTTGGGCTTCATTAGAACTTACTGTAATGAAAAAAACATTCTTAATAATATTTTTAATATTACCTTAACGTTGACACTATTTCTTAGTGTAAAATATTCTAGATGTGGAACTAAACATTGTTTTTAAACACAAACCAAACGCATCTCCCAACTAGAGGAAGATGGCAAACAAAGCTTAAATTAAATATTTAAATTTATTCTATTTTAATATAACCGTGTGGCCGGCATTATTTTTGAAAAGACAATTGTTAATTAAGTCATGTGTAGTAACTTAATTAACAATTGTCTTGTCAAAAATAATGCCGGCCACATGGTTATATTAAAATAGAATAAATTTTAAATATTTAATTTAAGCTTTGTTTGCCATCTTCCTCTAGTTGGGAGATGCGTTTGGTTTGTGTTTAAAAACAATATGTAGTTCCACATCTAGAATATTTTACACTAAGAAATAGTGTCAACGTTAGAGTAATATTAAAAATAACATCTTTAATTATGATGATTGTAAAGAATGTTTTTCCATTACAGCAAGTTCTGATAAAGCCCAAAATTATGTGGCGAAAGCCTGACTTTTCATAAAACACACTCACTTTGAAGCACCCGTTTTTTATTGCTTCCTTAGTATTGGGTCGTTCCCGGTTACCTTCAACTGTCTGTTGTTTACCAGTAGCCCGTTACTGTCCTCGACTTTCTTTATATATATATATATATATATATATATATATATATAATATATATATATATATATATATATATATATATATATATTATATATATATATATATATATATATATATATATTGTTTTAAAAAATGTGCTCTGTGGATACATGACAATAGTAAAATGGTCAATTAATTAAGAAATTTAATTATTAAAATATCTCTCCATTTGGCTTTGACAAATAAATATTGTGACTGGCTTCAAAATAGCGTGACAACAGTTTGTGAAAGGAAAAAACACAAAGCAAAGATGAGTCAGTAGATCGGTCGTATACTCATCAAAAATATTACTAAAAGGTATAAAATGGATATTAAATAGATAAGTTCGGCTTAACCTTATAAAATAAAAATACGGGAATGTAACTAAATAAAAGCGCACTGGGAATAAAACAAAGCGATCATGGGACCTGAAATTTTTTGTGAGATTCGCAATGAATAACATTTGGTTAAAAATACAAAGGCTTTGTCTCAAACAAAATACTATATGGAAGGAGACAATCAAAAACTTTCGAGGAAAAGAAAAGATTCATTTATACATAAATGAGTCAATACTCTGCGTACAGTGTGAGTACATAAAACTTAAATTAAAAGTTTTTGAGTAATTGAAGCTACCTGTACATTGTTCTTGTTTTAGTGACGGACAGGCCATTCAATTTCTCTTCTAAATTCTGTCTAAATTAGTCTGAGACCAGAAGATTGTATCCTCTCTAGTGCGCTTCTGAAATAAAAATCGGCTTCTACCATTACTGTTGAAAAATCTAACAAACAGTCTGTATTATCATTACATAAAGTATATAAAATACTTCTCGTATACCGGGCTTTACTTAAACATATATAATAGTGAAGATTTTATAAAGCTCAATGATACCCTCATACCGATTGGAAGTCTTGGTTGAATACTTGTTAAATATTTGGTCCTGACAATTATTGTTCGCAATTTACTCAGCATTTCGTAGTTAATATTAATGAAGGGCGAATACTAATAACTTTGACCGAAGTATTAATAAACTGCATTCAATTCTTGTCGAATGGATGCAGACTTTTAAATTCTCGTCTTTGATCTTTAAATACGTAGGTAGCCAGCCAGACTTGTACACGCAAATTGTCTTATACATGACTGTCAAAAATTTAGTGTAGTCTGCATGTTAGGAATTTATTTAAATTTATCTTTTTTATATTTATATGGAGATGTATGTACCACATTGCAGAATGTTAACAATATGTATTACTTGTAATATTACGCCCCTATCAAAGCAAGCCCAATCCACTCATACTATCTATTTACATTTATTGTTATCAAACAATGTCTCATTATTTCCGTCTTGACGAAAGAAAACCTATTTTTTCACATTATATTTAAATATCTTTTCATATCAGTATACAACTAACTCAGAAATTCATGCGTTTTATAGCGATATATTTATAACGAATTATCATATTCAGTATAAAAAAGGGAATAATAACATTAATATAGCAATTTTCTTTTTTCTTTTCTTCCGTTGCTTATGTGTAGATGCTTTACATATCTATAAATGTAGTATATTTTTTAAAAATATATAACCCATTTCTACAGATCACTTTTCACTTACAGCATCTTCTATAATTCTCTTTTTACACTCACCTCCCTTCACTTTCATATCCATCTTAACTTGTTGAATTAGAAAATTGTAATGTTCAGATTATACTTGAAAAGGTTCCTTTTATTATAATCTGTTTTCAAGTTTTCCTGCAGTTACACAGTAACCAAAAAATAATCGTCGATAAATAACCCTATCATCAAACAATTTTTCTCTCCAAATTTTAAATAAAAAGTATTCTTTACCATCCTTAGTTGACTCAACCAAGAAAACCTCCAATACGTGACGCGACATACTTCCTTCAACAGTTTAAAATAACGTAAGGTTTTGATAACATATTTAGGATACAGAATGTTACACACTTGCACGAAGTCGGCGTCTACACTAATAATTATAAATTCTCCTAACACAACAACCACCGCTAGCGCTAAGGGTTGGGTCCATGGGGGTTGCCTTGGCCGGGATGTTGGTGCATCAAAACCTGCATCGGGGGTTGAGGAGGTGGCGGAGCTTGCGGCAAGTACTGCATACTCTGCATCATGTGCGGCTGCGCGGGAATAATCGGATGATACATTAGAGGGAACTGGTGATGACTCTAAAAGAAAAAAGAAATTTATTAGACTATAGTCGGACAATTTTCAATTAAAGGTGACTAATCTACAAATTGAACTAAACGGTAGCGGCAACCATGTAAAAGATCAGCAGTAAATTCTTACCGGGGTCATTTTTATAGTGTATGCTTCGCCCACGCAAATAAGTGAAAAAGTAAGATAAATTTGCCCCCGTAACAATATAAATTAGTGCGATTCACGAGTGTATAGTGAGACAAGTTCATTGAATAGTTTGAAACATGTAAACTTATAAATATTTTGCTGATCTATATATATTTACATTCTTTGAAAGAATGATAATGAGAGAACTATGATATTTTAGTTTATTCCTTTCAGATTATATATGTGCATAGGCGTAGTGTGTTCTATTTCTTGGGAATATATTTATTAGATAGATTTATTATTAACTTTAAAATAGTTCTGAGGTAAGTAAAGTAAATTTGAGACAAGTTTATTCTTTATATAGGATTAACCAATTAACGACCGCTCAATATACAAAGAGACACAATTACAATTAATTGATTAGATTGGATTAAAAACACATAAATTAAGACTAATTTACAACCATAAAGATTTTTTTCTCATTTTCAAGGAAAACGGTACAATTTTTAAGAAAAACATTGTATCCTAATTTTAAGGTGAAAATTTTCGAAACATTCGGGGTGTAGATACACTCTACACCTTTTAGATAAATAAATTGTATTACTTTTGCACATCCTACATTTTTACACTATCGTCGCTTTTTGTAATGTGGCCAATATTGTCGAATCTGGTTTCACCTGGTAAAGCAAATTTAGATTGACGTCCATGTACTAAGTTTGACACTGATGTAGCGATTTCTTCACTATTATAAATATAAATCTATGTCGGCTCATGCTTTCCCTTATAATGTGTACTTCTTTATCCTCATCCTTTGACCGATGCATATCAACTTAAAGCCGAGTGTAAACCAGATAATATACATATGCTAATATTTTTTTAAATCTATGTTATTTATTTTAAAATCGTGACGGTTATTCTGGGATGCATAAATATTTGTAAAGTATAGAATGCTTTCAATTACTTTTTTATCAAAAAGTAGATTTAAAAGATTTACTATTTTTGCCTGGTTTTTTCTTTGGACGTTTTATCTGTGATTCAGAGGAATATCATAATCAGAATCATCAGAATTTCCAATCACTTGTATTCATATGTATCTGCAATATCCGATTTTATTGATTCTTCACAAATAATATTATCTTCAATGTCTTCTACATCAGAAACTTTCTGATCTAATCTCAGCGGCAAATAAACCACATTAAGTGAGTCAGCATTTTCACAATCTGAGTCTTCTTCTAACAAAGCTAATAAACTCTTTAGTAGTTAGTGCCATCTTCATTTCATATTTCGAGAATTTACTGAAATAAACAAATGCACTACTATATAAACGCATTCACATGATAATAGTTTAGCTTACTTCATTTTAATTTATATGAACTTCATATATATTTTTATATTTATATAAACAAATAAACACAAGAACACTTACAAATTAAGTAAAAAAAAAACAAATATAACGTTTACAGAACACAGCAATTCTATAAATAGAGAATGATGTGTAATGACGAGATCGTATGTTAAAATTTCAGATTGTTTTTAGTCTAACGAAAAAAAAAAGTATTTTCCAAAGTTTTCTGTTTTTTGAAGTTCTGTATTAGGTATCTACTCTCTAGTAAGAATAAAATTTTACTTTATTTTAGACAACTATAAGATGCCTGTTAAAAGACACAATATGTTAGTTAATAATTATATCGGCCTTAGATTTAATTTTTACGTAATTACTGCTGTGTTTAAATAGATAATTCAATTTTTTTTGGTACGCCTTTGCAAAATTAATAAGTGGAATATGATTTCGTTGAAAAGTATTAACATATAATAAATATACAAAAATTACTATTAATATACTTAAATATTACAAAAAATTAACTTATTAGAAGTGCATATTAATTGAATAAACAAATATTTAACAAAACTTGACAAATTAGCTTACCTGTGGTGGAGGAGGTGCTGCCTGACACTGTTGAGGTGGCGCCTGAGGACCCTGCGCAGGATTATACTGAGGCGGTTGGGCAGGCGAAGGAGTTTGAGAGGGATGTGGATTTGGAGGAATATACTGGATTTGGGGAGACGTTTCGTAAGTTCTAACCATATGCATCGGCTGATAAGCCTGGTTCATTGCCGGTGGATAAATGAAGGGTTGAATGGGGGCCGGAGCTAAGAGCGGTTGTCCAGTGGCTGCGGCTACTTGCATCTGCGACGCCATGTCCGTCCTCATTGGTACTAAAAAAAATATGTAAAAATTGAGGCATTCAATATAATAGTCAGAATAACAGAATGTTATTAATCTATGTCTATAATTGCGAATCATTAAAATCGATATACATATAATCACTACCTTTCTTACCACTATGGTAACAGTGTGCTAAGATGAGTAGCGACTGACTGATATCAAACTTGTTGATAGTCTTAAAACGCCTTGAGCTGGGACTACATAATCCTTTCGTCTCTGAGCTAGATTGTCCTAACCTTACTTAGGTACGATTCGTACACAACGTGATGAAGTGACTTGCAGTCAAGGGAAAAAAGGTTTCCGTTTACCCTGTATAACGCTTAGATTAAGTTGCGCTGAGTGGTCTTCCTTTTCCGTGCGAAACGCTTACAGCGTATATCCCAATATCCTTGTCATCTGCCGATAGTGATAAAACGCTAGATTCTTTATGCCCTGTCTCTTTTGCCGACGTTTATGTACTATGAATAGAATATTCGTTTATACATGGTTCCGAAAATAAAAAAAAATGTTTTATTGACACCTGCTAAGTTATATAATATAAAGAAGACAGTAAAAACATTATTTTTGTCTCAGAATATAACACTGGAAACTTGTTTTCTACACTTCCACAAAATTTATTACAATTTATTTTCACTACACCTGTTCCCACAAAATGCCTTTCTCAATTAATGTATTTTTACAATGTATCTATACTTCATAGTCATTAACTGAATAAGTTGAGAAGGGGAAAGCTGTTTGTCTCAAGTTGGCCTAGCTTTTAATAAAGATAGCTTAACGCCTTTATTTACAATATGGAGAATTTGAAATTGGTCATTAAAGAAAGAATGATCATGGCCTAGAAGATGAAGTGCGTACATAGAATCTGTTTTTTTATTGAATTCTGCTATATGTTTGTTAAAGGTTCACCAGTTTAACAGATGTAAGGTTTTGGGCAGTCACCACATATGTAAGTATGTATACACCACTGTGTAAGTGCTTTTTCTTTTGGCTCTTGTTTTTGACATCTGAAATAGCAAAATTCTTTGCTGATGTTTTTTCTCTATTAGTTTTAACCCGACTCTTGCATCAATGACAAAACGGTTGTGATCAGATCCAATATCTGTTCCAAAGTATGTCGTACATCTACTGATGGAGTTCCTATATCTTTTGTTAATAAGAATGAAAGAAAGATGTAGGCATGTAAAAAACAATTCAATTGAAGTTACTACTCCTCTGTTCAAGGGTTAGTCAGCCACACAGATTCTTTCAATACTTGCATCTGGAGAGCAGACGAAGAGGGTTCCGTAATTATTAAACCACTTGCATCAACTTCCTCTTCGTCAAGACAATCGGCACCCTCAGACGATGTTTCATTGTACTGTACCATACAGAGAAGCTTATTTCCCCTTTCGGTAGCAAGTCCCTTGAGAACTTTCGTTCAACATAATCTTTACATTGCGTAATTGTTTATTTTTTACCTATATATAACAGCAAAACTACGATAACAGCTTAAGCAAAATAGAATATTGGTAAATTCACTAACGGAACGAACCACGACTAGAAAGAATCGAGGAGGAGGGAAGACAATTGAAATACAACATCCCGGATAATGTCTAGATATACATATTATCTAAAACAATCTATGGAGAACACGGCACAGGATTATACATATTAAAGTCACGTAAACAGCTCATACTTTCAAATGACCATAAAGAATAATAAACTTACAACGTCTAATTTTATTGCCTTGTGGTGGCGGTTGATACTGCGGCTGGCTGGTCATGACGTAGTGCAACGGCATCATAACCTGCATAGGTGGCTGCACAGCGGGCCCGCCAACTGTGGCTGGGATGTACGGGCTATGACTTGGGGTCTGTGGAGTATGAGGCCTGCTAGCTGATGGAGTGCTTGGAGACCTGAATAGAATATTACACATTAAAAAACAAGTATATAATACAAGACAAGGTAATATAAAATTAAAAACACCACTAACCTTGGTTGAAATGGTTTAGCAGAAGGATTCAAAACAAATTCTTTTGCGTTAGGATTCAATGTTGACTTCTTTAATGTATTTGTAACTTTGTCCAAATTTTCCTGTTGTGGACTAATGGACTGCTGAGGTTGTGGTGGTGATGGCTGTTGCGGGGGTTTATTGGGAAGAATTTGTTGAACAGGTTGAACCTAAAACACACAAATATTATAGATCGTTTACATACATTTAATTGCCTGGATTATCTCACCACTTGCTCAACCACTGGCGGAGGTGGTTGCATCTGTGGTGGAGGTTGTTCAGTTGGCATTGGTGCCAATTTAAAGTCTTGCGAAAACTGGTGCAAGTCTTTCATTGTATCTTCCCTGTGTCTAGGTTGATGTGGAGCTGAAATAGAAAAGATTACTGTATCATTAATTATTATCACTTACCATTCTACTATCTTATTAGTCATAAGTTTTTGTTGTAACTTCATCTTAAATCTTACTTCTTTCCTCGAACTTGATACTCAAAAACATGCATTTATTGTCAAAAAGTGCTACTGTGGGCTAGCGCGAAGCTCCATACTACATACTACGTTTCCTGTATTTTTAAATTTTTATTTATTTCATATTTTTTTATTTTACGCTTTTTGTTGCTTTTGTGCTCTTACAACTTTTTCAATATTTAAGTGGTTTTCGTAACTTTTACGTTAGATATGCATGATTTTGACGCGCTGATTGCAACTTGCGTTTACAGATCAAAGTGTAAATTATCTACTATAAATTTATTGAGAATAAAATTGTAACAGTAGACACAGTACAAGTAGAAATTTGTAGCGTGTCGGAACGCTTTCACACTCCATTATTTTTCTTTATTTTTCAATTTCGTGAGACATTTTGTATATTGTGTCTTTTCTCTGCCGTCGAGTCTCAAAATATTAAATAAAAACATTACAACACAAAAGGGTATTTTTTCAAATACAACACAACAAAAAATCTAAAATCTAAAAACCCACAATTTTTTTTTGTATGTAAATAAAATATGTAATACATACCCTTGGAAAAACTATTTGGAAAATTTTTAAAATATAAAGCAGATTCTAAATATAACTTCACATATTGTTATTACGACACTTACATATGTATTGAAACAAAAGAATATTACAGGAAATACTATTCGGAAGATTTGCATTACAGAATGGTATAGAAACAGTAAAATGAATATTGAGTGAAGATGGTTCATGTGCATTACTGTTATATTTTGTAGTTCCACTTAGCTATACCCAGCAGGAAGATAAAACAAGAATGCAGCTTCGGGGCACTTACCGAAGATGGGACTAGGGCCCATTTATTTTTAACAATGTGAAACAGAATCTGGGTGTAACTTTAAAAAACAATAGATTTTATTTACATTTCTTACCTGGTATATCTGGTTTCATTTCTGGAGGTGGATATTGCTGGCTTTGGTATACCCTCTGTTGACGTGGTGGCGGCACTTTGGCTTCACCGTTCATTTGGGCCTTAGGTTGATGAGGTGGCTGCTGAGGAATGGGTTGAGGTGGCGGCGGTCTAGATTGCACAGGAGGTTGGAATTGATGAGGAGGTGTATGAGAATGAGGACGCGAATGGTTTGGAGGTGGTATTACATGTGGTTGCATATTCATAGGCGGCGAATGAACTGTAGCATTGTGCATATGGGGTGGTGGCTGATGTTGAGGGAGCACTGAAATCAAAAATAAGGAATTTAAACAAATTAACAACATTTTAGTAACCTGCTTATAAAATTTGACAATTGTACAGCAAATACAGCATAATTATATCACATGAAGTTTATAATAAATGGATACTGGATTCAAAGGGAAAGGACTTAGGTACTTTGATAAAGAAATACACATGGTCTCAGTAATTCATAGAACTGCTATTACTAAAAGAAATTACTAATTGGGAAGGTAAATGGAATGCGGTCTAGGTCGTGCAGAGGTGAATGTAACCAAATGTATTTGGTGTCGAATGATGTGGATTCAATTCCCACTACAAAATCAAAACGTATTGCCAAGTCGTCACTTCGAAGGCCTTAACAAATCACGAATCGTAAACTATCTGGTACACTGAATGATAAAGGACTCATATTATATATATATATATATATATATATATATATATTATATATATATATATATATATTATATATATATATGATTATTATATGATATGATTATTATATATATATATATATATATATATATATATATATATATATATGATTATTATATGATATGATTATTATATATATATGATCATTATATTATTATTATATCATTATATTCAACTGCATGATCACTGAAATATAGTGACCTAAAAACCACACTATTTCGTATAGCAACCAACAAAATCATCATAGCCAGAATGATCGCCAACGTTCGGAACGGACAGGCACCCTAAGAAGAAAAACCACGCCGTTTTAAGATGGATGCACATGACTCGAAATAGAGAAAAATGGAAGAGTGTAAAGGTGGTCTGTTATGTCTCAAGATATATGCATGACACTAACAGTAAAACCAAGTTTAGATTATTTTTGGATCCATTTCACATATTTACATGTTATTTTAGTAGATCATTTCCACCAACTTTATAGACAAAACTCACATGATCATTCAACACAAAGTTGTGAACTATGCGTTGTGAGAAATCGCAAGCGATTAAAATGTTATTCGAAGAAAAAATACATTGCATTACAAATGCTGAATATACGTTTTCAAAAATTATTAACAGAATCTATGAGCAAAACTAACAGAACTACTATATGAAGGCCCATACACCTATTCTGGCAGACCAATATAGTTGCTAGAATGCTTGGGAAAATTGTAGAAGACACGTATATATAAGTGGTTATAAAACATATCAATAGATAGAATCCTTATGCAGATGAACGGTACTGAATATCTCAAAGAAATCAACAGTGGATGCTGATATCTAAAAGAGTAAAAGCAGCGAGAACAAATAGATCACACTCTTTATGTTTGATGAGAAAAATGCCTTTAGCTCTGTTGACTGAACTCATACAAATGAAATTAGAAGCAATAAGCTGGCCAGATTATTTAATAACAAGTATGATTCAGAGTTACCAACACGATAGGCTCCTAATGCTGTCAAACGATGACATCAAACTACCGACCAAGATGGCGCAATAATCCTATAGTAGAGCCAATGTTATGTTATATCTGATAACGTAATGCTAAAAATAAACTGTTGTAGATATGTAACTACTCGTACATAGGTAGACCGCGAATGGTTAGTAAAAGTCAAACAATATACAAACGATCTAGAGTTGAGTGCGACCAAGATGGACATTATTATAAAAATATATAAGAGAAAGGAGTTTGAATGACTTTTACACTAATTAGTATTACAATAAAGCCAGAAGATTGTGCGAAAAACCTGAACATATGGCTAGATAACGAATGTACAGTGTACAAAACATTTAAAATAAATAACTGGACATTCATCCCAGTTAAAAATGGCTAATAATAACCTAATATAAACCTAATACTTCAATAATTGTTAATAACTTCAATAATGGATATTAAATTTAAATAATGTTACCTTGTTGCACATGTACATTCGTTTGATGCGGGGATGCTAGAGTGGGATAAGTCATGGGTGGTCTAGTTTCTTTCGGTGATGGAGTATTCTGATTGCTGTTACTCTGGCTTGGAGGCGGAGTACTTCTTACTAATTTGCCATTGTTCTGATTCTTCCGTTTAGCTGGAGGAATATATTTACCTGAAAATTCATAAAATGCATAAAATATAGTAATTTATGTGACAAATGAAAAAATGTGCATAAGTGTGACTTTCACGATTATCGTTCGTACAATGTTAAATTTCAAGACAACTTTTTAAATAAAACTGTAAACTAATTTGCTACATTATGATTTGTATTGTTGCTATAAAGATGTAATACGAACCTGAACATTGATAGAACACAAGTCTTGAAATACTTTGTTTTCTGCCCTTTACAGACAGAATTGAAACAGAAGAAGAACACAAGAATAAAGATAAAATATAAGACAAGCAACGTCTATTTGTTGACACTGCTCATCAAAGACAAAGTTTTTGTAAATTAGAACAACGAATTTCAAATATAAATAAGTCACACTTATGAAGAAATAGATCTACAACAGAGGCAAGTTTTACCATTAAAAAACATAAGAAAAATGACGTTGTAAAGCTAGTAGGTACCTTTTGTTTTTGAAATAGTGGTACAAACAGTCATATACTGGAGGTAATTTCAAACAACAGAACGATAACTACATCGACCTGCGGGCTAACCTAAAAGAGGGTAATCAATTATGTAGTGCGAAAATTTTAATGAGTGATTGCCGGTACAATGTGCTTATTCATTATGAATATTAAACACTAACAGGACTCCATGTTAGTGCTGTGTAAGGTCCATTTGTGACTAATTCTTACAGTTGCACTGTCCTTGTCAGCTGGTAATACTAATATGGACTCATCTTTACTAACATTTGCTTTTGTGTTTTTCTTCAGTTCCTTTTTATCAAGTATTCTATATTTTTCCTTTTCGTGTGTTGGTAGTGCTTGACAGACTTTTTCAATTACACTGATTACCTATGTTTAGTTTAGGAACTATTGGCCATGTCGCTGCAAATTGGTCTGAGGGGTACATTTTCTTTATGAATTTTGTGAACTCCGTATAGGTGTGGTGTCCTACTATAGCAATCTTAATATTAAGGTGTTATTTAAATTTGTGCAGTGTTTTATATATTTTGTTTTTCTGTCATTTGTTTAGGCCCTTTTCAGTTCGCTGTAAAGTTAATTTGTGACCAATTCTTGAATTTTATCCCGGTATTGACTTTTGTCCATACATACAACATGTATGGACAACATGTTTTGTCAATACAACAACTTGACCCAATGCAAACAGCAGAGCAGTTGTCAATATATCTAAAAGATAGTTGAACGCAACAGAAAACCAGATGTTCTCAAAAAGGTCTAATATGCTGTAACACACCCAATAATTCTTAAACTAGACATAATCAGTGTAGTTTGAAAAAGTCTGTCAAGCTCTACCAATACACGAAAAGGAAAAATATAGAATAATTTGTAAAAAGGAACTGAAGAAAAACACAAAAGCAAATGTTAGTAAAGATGAGCCCATATTAGTATTACATAAATTTGTACAGATGACCAGAAAGAAACTCTCTTCAGACCACAAATCCCACCAAATGGAAGCTGATCAAGTGTATATATAATGATAAAAGGAAAGATACAGAAACTGCCAGAACTGTTCCACATTTAAGGACATACACTTTCGACCTACAACAGTACTTACCAACACCAGATTTAAAATCATTTGTTGTATTTTATAAGAGACAGCTATGGACGTTCCATTTGATTGTTCATGATAACAGTACTGAGAAAGCTGTTACATGTGGTATGAATCTGTTGCAGGTAGAGGGGCAAATAAGATAGCATCTTGTCTGTACAAACACCTGCAAACAATCGTACAACCTGAGACAGAACATGTAATTTATTATTCAGACATATGTGGGGGACAAAACTGTAAGGCCCGCCGCAAATTGAACACAGCTCATGCAAATCCCACGCGCAGCCCAAGTGTGGTCCAACCTAGCCCAAGTACACGTTTTTTAATAATAACGCATATTAAACACAGCCCACGCCCATGTCAAATATTTGTATTCTTCGTTCAGTACAGAAAATTACATCAAACGAGCAACTTCTGCTTGATTTAGAATCAGAATCTGAAAGTGACGAAAGATTTATGTTGCAAATATGTAATTAAAGAAGATATTACCGGCCAAGTATGTCTAAGGTAAATATTTGAAAAATTAAGTATTCTTAGAAAAAAGGTTTTTATTTAATATTTATCTAGTTTATTAACATTTAATAAATTGATTCAAGAATCGTCAAAATTTTTCGAGCAGCATCCTTCATTTCTCTCTTTTGATCTTAAAGACGCTGTATGTGATGGAGTAGATTGCTGGCTTTACATCTCAGAATTTTTCTTAACTTTCTCCTTAGCCATATCTTCAGCCTCAGAAACAGCTTGAAATAGTTTTCTCCTTATTTCTTTATGGTATATTCTCGGAAGTTTTTTGGTTATGTCATACATCGAAAAAAAAACTTGGTATAAACCATCCTGTTTTTTATGTTTTAACAGGTTTTCTCGTATTTCGTCCCTCTTCTCACTGTCCCCAAAAAACTTTTGAATAACGGGATCTGTGCGTACGGCGGATATTTTTAACCTTCTGGGGCGAAGAAGTTCTGAGAAGATTCTATTATTTCTTCATTATTTGTTTCTTCTATTGTAATTTCACTCTCTTCCATCTGATGGAACAGACGGATATTCAACAGTATTTCCGTTTTTCATATATGGTTTCGAAATCCATTTGCTTTTGGTACGTCCATAACCTAACAACTAGTGTTGCCCGTTGTCCACTTTTTTGTGTTATCTTCTAAGAGCTTCTCGGTGGCATTCTCTTAGCTTTCGCCACTGTTCCTTAGGAGTTGCGGCTGCAATTAAAAAACTATTAATAATGAATAAGGTTTAAAGCAATGAATTTTATATATTTTAACAAATTAAAAAATTGATAGTATCAATTTCATATTTTTCAGGTATTTAGCCACTGGTGACTGTTTAAAACTGTAGCATTAATCCATATATTAGGAGAGAGGACCGTATCGAATATTGTATCTGAAGTGTGTGCAGCTCTATGGTGACGTTTACAACCCATTTACTTGCCTAACAGTGGAATCATTCAATATGAGATAAAATGGCAGTTTTATAACTGTTTAGCTGCTGTTGATGGTAAACATATTGCCATTCGGAAACCGCTTCTTAGCGGATCTTCCTTCTACAACTATAAACAATATTTTTCCATTGTTTTGATGGCGACTGTAGATGCAAATTATCGTTTTACAGCTGTAAACGTGGGTTCTTTGGGTAGGTTTAGCGATGGAAATATATTCGCCAATTCCTCGTTAGGAAAAATGCTAAACAGTAGGTCTTTACAACTGCCTGAACCAAAAGCGTTACCTGGACAAAATACATAAACACCGTATGTCTTTGTTGGAGACGAAGCATTTCTTCTAATTCCAAATTTAGTGCGTCCATATCCCAAAGTGAGAGTGACTGGCAATTATCAAAGCAAGGTTTTTAATTATCGATTATCCCGAGCAAGGCAAACAGTAGAAAGTAGCTTTGGAATATTAGCAGCTGGATTCCGGGTGTACAGAAGATCTTTTGAATGTAGATTGGATACCATAGATAATAAAATAGTGATGGCCACAATTGTGCTCCACAATTATTTAAGAACTGATATTCTCTCAAACGTCAGTAAACAGGAAGATGACAAAATAGACAACAATTTGTGTGAAAGTAACTTCAGTTTTTTAGCACCAAACTGAAATAGTTGTTCTAATGAAGCATTTCTATATATATATATATATATATATATATATATATATATATATATATTATATATATATATATATATATAAATGTTAATAAATTTAAAGGACATGTCTGATATTTGTTTAGAACCCTCTACACATAAATCTTTTATATGACCAATATACATAAAAGAAAACTTTCCCTTACTTACAGAAATGATTATTGTTGCTTGTTTTTCACTACTTAAATTTTTGTAATGTCTAAGTACAAATTTCAAATTAAACCTTCAACAACAATTGATTCTAAAATAAGGAGATTGAAGCCAAACTACAATATCTATGAATTTAATGATTTTCAAAAACGATGTTAGCTGTTCTTAGATGACATCTTATCTTTTAGCAATTGTTGAATCTATTTGTCACACTACAGTATGTAAATTAATAATGTTGATACAACGTCAAATCTAATATACCAGTACTAAATTGAAATAAAAATAAAATTACTTACCATCTGTATAATTACATTCTTTGGCTATCTTCTCCCACAAACCATTCTTTAGTTCTGTTCTCATGTAATCTTTATTACTGGTATATCATTCAAGACATTAATGCTTCGAAGAATTTCAATAAACTCTTCCATTTTTCACTAAATAACAAAAACTGGTTACACAAACAAAATAAGTAAGGTTAGGTAGGGACCCACGAAACTGTGTTGCTAGCACAACTCTATCCACGACAAGTCTGGCATTGGCCTGGCCGTGGTTTGGGTTTAATATGCACCGCTCCGTCTAAAATTACGTTTTACAAAATAACCCACGCGTGTGCTGTGCATGGGATGTTCATGGGCTGTGTTCAATTTGCGCTGGTCTTGCGTGGGTCTTGCATAGATCTTCATCTAATATTAAGATAATAGATCATAAGTGTATGGTACCAGGTCACACTAACTTGGAAGTAGATACTGATCACAGTATAATTGGAAAAAAAAGAAGAAAACTGACATTCAAATATTTCACCATCATGACTGGATGCAAATTGTACGTTCAAGCAGCTCTAAATTCACTGTCATGGAAATGTCACAAACATACTTCTTTGATTTCTCATCTTTACTTAAAGGTACTTTACTCTGCATGGTATTAAGAAATAAAGACTTGGCAATCGTTCAATTCAAAGACAGCCTTAATGGAGAAGACCTATTTAAGTCTATTGAATTCAATAGAACAGGGGGTCAACTACCTTAGGAAGTTCCAATTATAACTTATCAATCAGTCCCTATTTCTAGAGGTAAAAAAGCAGACATTATCTCGATACTGTCTCCTTCCTACGTATTTCACAGTTTTTATCAAAGCT